CAACCAGTAGGGTTATTCAAGTTATATCTGGGTAATGTTAAAGTGTTTGCGGGCCGCTTACGTGTAAAACTTCACCCTTTTTTCTGGTAAGTAGGTCGAAGGTACAAGTTTGTAGTAAAACATCTTTTTACCAAAACAGATATATTTTATGAAATTCTCCCTAATACGTTAGGGATGTTTAATTAACTTCATGAAAGTTGATATGGGCTCAGTAACAAGGAAAGAGTAAGAATTATGAATAGGACCACTCGTATTTTGTTGACAATATTATAATGTCACTGTTTAGTCTCGTGGATGCTTAGCCTTATTGACCTCCACGAGCTGAACAATTCGAATATTTGGCTCATATTACAGCACACTATCAATCTAAAGTTCACTTGATAGAATACTTCCTTGGTGATTTGAGCACTTACGAGCACGCAAACCATTTTTTCATGTCCGGTTTGCCACAAAGCAAATTCTATTTGGCTCCCAAGATTTTCGAACAGATATTTTGATTTTTGACTGAGGAGTAAAGCCAGGATGATGAAACTCGTGGTGAGAACTTATCGAATTGAACTATAACCGATAATATGAAGTCTACCAATGTTATTTACGTATCGCTCTTGGCCCAATAGAGTCCTTTTGAATGGTTTAACTGCGTAATTCACATAATATTACATTGACGTTACAATTTCGTGTCAGTAAGTAACCCTCGTTCTACTGATAGATGAAATATAACTAATGGGTAATAGATCATGGCTTAGAATAGTTTTGAAGCGGAGTTATCTTCTCCAACACACAAAGTTTTCAACATCAAGTATAAAAGAATAGGACATATAATACATGTATGAACAAAGGAAGTGAATGAATATGTGAGCTATAATTTTACAGCCCTACTGAGATGTTTGAAACCAACAGTTAACAAATCGACCGAAGTTGTTACAACATCTAATTAACCCTTATTCTGGTTCATACTCCTGGGGGAGAGTTTGAATTATTGCCACATGTGTCGATCCTGTTTTACAACTTGATTAGTTGATATCAGCAGTTTCCAACCCTTATCAATGACTCCAAACGATCTCAATTAGATTGTCATCAGGCTCTACTCGAATATACATGAATATTTATATGAAAATGTTAAACCAATCAAGGCAAGTTGAGTCAATAATCACAATGAAATAGAATGCGTCACCGAGAATAATGTTTAAAACTACAAGTTGGTAGTGGGAAGACAGGTGTACTGATAGTAGTAAGAATATTAAATTACGATAACAAAAAGTCTTATCAATCGTTAAACATTGGAGATAAGAGGTCAAACTTGGATAAATAGACTAGAATAGTAATCACGAAATATTAAAATCAATACGTAATAAGAAGTAATAAGTAATTAGATAATGAGTAATACGAACGGAAAGAGGTAGAAAATTACGAACGAATGACAACAAAATTAAATTTTAAAAAAATAGTAATAATGTCATTTGTTAAGTTATGTCCGGCCATGGGAGGGATAGGGAGGTTACGAATTTCATCTATATACACAAATCGGGGTTGAACATGCGAATTTCTATGGCTTCAGCTATATGAAGGAGACGGGAACGAACTCCATTGAGAAATGATGGAGGTATACGATAGATCCTTGTATAACTGAATGTCACCTGTCGGAAAAAGTAGATATTCTATCGCTACCTGCGTATATAAAAACATGGATTGAGAGGTAGATCTTCAACCATATAAACGTACTCAAACAGATATGAATAATTGAAACTTTCAGAGCATCACCCAAAACTATGACTGTGCTTGCACAAACACTTATTCTAACGTCATATCCTACCGCAATAATAAGTTATTTACTTATTAATTTATTCTGTTTTATTTCATTTTTATTACTCGTTTTTCCTATACATACATAGTTATTTATTCTTGTTCTGCGTTAAGATATTTACGTCTCCCGCGTCTCCTTTATTTCTATTTCCTTAGTTTCTTCCTTTCCTCCTTCAAAATCAATTCAAAGTTCTTGCTAATTACACAGAACCTCATTTATTATTACTATTCTATTATTAATATTTTATTTTCCTTTTCCTTCCTTTCTCAAACATGGCATATGTATTGTTAACATTACTGAAAATTGTGTATTATTACATTTTTGAAGAAACCCGAAATGTTTCCTTCACAGCACTTATGTACCCATAACGTGTTTGTGAATAATAATAATAATAATAATAATAATAATAAGGATTCAATGCGAAAACAATGAATATGGATAAAATGCCAAGTAATTCATATGAGAATATGATTTTCACAACGATCATTATTCAATGGGGATATTAAAATAGAGTGAGAGTTCAACTTCATAAAATAATTAAAGGGATTGGAAGGACACATGAGAAATGACCAGGATATTGAAGCCTTTTGAAATAGGTATAGTACACGAATCAGAGAAATTAATTCGATCAGCCCTATGAAAACCAAAGGAAGACATGACAAAAGAAGAACCGAAGTATGTAAATAATTAGATATTAAAGAATACAAACGGGAAGAGGAGGAAAATTACAAACAAATAACGGATGTGAAAATGGTGCTAATGATAACAAAAATAAAATAAAAATGGTGATAAATGTCGTTTTTTAAGTCATGTCCGCCCATGGAAGGGATAGGGAGGTTACGAATTTCATCTATATACACAAATCGGGGTTGAACATGCGAATTTCTATGGCTTCAGCTATATGAAGGAGACGGGAACGAACTCCACTGAGAAATGATAGAGGTATACGATAGACCACTCGAAATGATTTCGATCTATCTACATTATGATCACTATCAATTAGATGTGACAAGATAGAAATGCGTATTGTTTTTATCTGACCCTTCTCAAACCATGCTGGTAGATGTTCACTCATTTGTTGAGTGAGTTGTCTATCACTACACCCGATATACTATTTCCACAGGAGCAGCTGAACTTGCAAATGCACATAGAGGAGGTCAACGCACGTAGCTTTTCCGTACGTGACAACTGCCATTTATCATCAAAACAGTATGGACTTTAGATAAATGTATTTCAAATCATGAATTTGCGCTAAAATTTTAATTGAGTTATTAACATCCGCAGATTTGAGAATCTAAGCAAACTTTTCGTATCAATGATGTTATTAACTGCTACCTAACAAACAGACTCGTCTGTTGACTGTTGAATTTTTCGTTTCTGTGAGGATTTTTTATGCAATACCTTCAGCACACACCGAACGGTTTCAGTTCTGTAATTTTGAAAAAATCCACAGATTAAAAATAATTCACGCAATACACTCAAAAGGAGGAACGAATCAATAAAGCAGCGGCAACAGGCAAAATGTCAAGTGAACTAACATAGATGAAGTTCATCAGAATTATAGAAACTCAGTAAAAACGTCAGAAAAACAGAAACTAAAATGAAGAACTCAACAGAATTTGCAGCAAAAGAGATCTAGAATTGCAAATCACAAAAGTATGTACGTGTAAAAATTTCTATGCAGCACTGTTCTCTACAAATGGTGGGAAGATCTTGGGGTTCATATGGAAAGAAAAGGATTCACTTGTGCTTCAAAAATATCTCTCAACCTTAGAGGCGTGGTCAACAGACAATGTGTTAAAACCTAACCTGTTAAAGATACCATCAGCTCAAAGTGTGCGACATTACTGCACCCCCTTTTTCAAAACAGACACAAATCCCTTAGACAGAGCACAGAGGCGGGGAAATTGGCGAGTGATTGATTTGAGAAATAAAGCTTACGAAGACAGACTCGGACAATGGGTATTATTATCTCTGAGTCATCGAGGGAGAAGAAGTGGTGTGATAATGACACAAGGCATACTAGGCACATCAGGTCACCGTAGCACAAACATCGAACCAGAAAATCACGGCCGGGCTCCGCAAAATAACTTCGATTGTGTCCTTATTCATTTTAATATTCGGCTTTTTACAGTCTACATTTCCAATTCATTAACTTATTTGTTTGTTTGTTGAAGTGATCGTCTTATTTTGTACTCGAATTTTCAATTTAGTAATTTGCCTATTGCAACTAAACAATTTTCTGTTTGATAATGTGGTTGCTGCTGACTGCAGAAATCCTGTTGCACTGACATAAACACTAAAACTGCATGGTATACAAACCATAAAGTCTCTACAAACTGATAGTCAAGTGGCTGGACCACCAGTGATCGGAAATTATCAAATAGCTGTACCGCACCGAAACAACAAGTAATAAACACAATGAAAATCAGTCGACTTCACAAGCTCCTTTAAGTTGAAAAAGATCTAGAAGTGTGGCTACTTTATGGTCTGAAGTCATACGCTAACTGCGACAAATAATGCCTTCCTGAGCTGACCTTACACTAGTAACGCTGAAGCGCATTTTCGACCAGTTCGACGGAAGAAATTTTCACCTTTGTCTTCATCAGTCTTATTCGACCTCACTTACAGCATGGAAACACAGTATTTCCTCCCTTAATCGTAAAAGATGAAGACACTCCGGGACGTATCCAACAGCGAGCCACGAAATCAGTTCGGAGACTCAAATTCAAGTCTTATGAAGAGCGCCTCTAATTACTAAAACTTTACCTATTAAAGTAAAGCAGCCTTAGAAGTGATCTTTTAATGGCTTACAACATCCCAAATACCTCTAGGCACCTCTTTGAACATCTGCTTAAGCTTGGTCTCAACGCAAACTTGAGTGGTAACCTAACACAACAAAACGGATTGTAGGCACACCTTTTACTCCTTAAATGTAGTCAAATGCTGGAATCCGCTGCCGACCGGGCTAGTTCAAGCGACTTTTCATAAGTTTTTTTAAAGAGAAGACTTGATATATTCTTGGGAACTAAAGACAGTATCTCTCTACAATTTACTATTTTTTTAACTTTTATCGTCAAATATACCGAGGTTTTTACCTGGATACATCGGCGATCCACTGCTATCAGATACAGATTTCTCTATGCCATCCAGAACCATTTGAAACCTTCTGAAGCTCGTGAGGAAGATATTGGATATTGGATGCTTTGTACAGGCTTCGAATGTGCTGAAGGTCGTTGGTTTCTTCAAGAGGTCCCTCATTGGTTGAGAATAATGGTTATCAGCTAGCGTATTGTACTATGGGGAATGCCCATGCCTTAGAGAAACATCAGCTTTCAAATGTTGGGAGTGGAACATCGAGTTCTGTGGGTATAAAAGATTTTGAAAGTCGTTGGAGATCTTTTATGAATTCACTTGATTTATCAGCCGAACATATAAAACAAATTGAATTATTAGATGAAGGGAAGAAGGCAGAACTACTGTCAAACTATGTACTAAAGAAGTTGTTTTTATATTTTTTCCAGGAATCAAAAAACCCTAGGTGCTCTGCTTTTCACTATGTTACGCTTTTAAAAGCTACTCGGATTGAATTCATTTGGGTTCGTTCCATACTTCCTCACCCAATTTTTGTAGAAAAAGAAAGTCGATGGTTCATCATTTCGGTCTCTATTATCGTCAATAGAGATTTCTCTTCGCACCAACAATGTTGAGTAATTTAGTGCAAAATATTCGAATTCTAGGTGGGTTTATGACTTTTTAGATCTCGAGGGCCTTGAGACACTAGTCGATCTAATGTTACAATGTATGCATTTTCTATCAGGGTTAGTCCGGTATTATGATCATTCCCTTCAGACAGGACACAACACTCGGACCACGAATATTATACGGGTGTAAATCCTCAGGCGAAACTTATCGGGATCGTTACGAAATGTCTTGCAATGCAGAAGTTCCTAACTTCATTCGTAATAGTGGCGTAAAATTAAACCATTTTTCACCAGGTAATGAAAACCAGTTCGTTTTCATAATTTACGTGGTGATTTAGACAATGCATTTTTACCTCCATCGATTATTCACAGTAGCTGTTCACCAAAAGGCTCTCTACTCACTACATCGTTCTTAGACTTTCTGGAAGATTGCCTGCATCTGTCTCTTCGTTCACTTAAGGCCATATTGAATAATCAGGTTGGTTCTGCTAGTCATTATCATTGACCTTTTTAGAGAGGGTGTAGAAGAGCTATGGAGCATGCACTTGTCATTAGTCTAGTAACTTTCTGTCTCCTACATCCCAATTATTCGTAAGTATCACGATTAAATGTCGGCTTATAACTTGTTTTTGCATATTTTTGCGCTAATATAACGTTTTATTGTGTTAGTGAGGTAAGTCAAAGTATGAAATAGAATTCAGTCCACTCTCTTTAACGGCACTTACATTTCTCAAAGCTGTATCCTGTGAGATTTGGTGCCTGCTTCCACTTATGGGTTGAGTGTGTACGCTTTTCTGGCTGAAAATAGTTAAGATAAGTTTAGTGCAGTCATACATATGTTAACTTGGATATTTTAGGTCCTAGTTTGACGTTATTGTTGTTAGTGTAGTAGTGTATTTTGGGTCATTCATTTTTGCGCAAAGTTCCTTTTACATGATTCGACACCTACGATGACCTCCCACAAAAAAAGGAACTACATTCATGACTTGCTCTGACTATGGACTGAGAGAAGCGTGATCCCTATTACGTCTCACACTAGCTCCGGATGGATGTTATCCTTTTATGATCAAGTTATAATACCTCGTTTGTGCTTGTTGCAACCGACTAGCGTAACTTAAAACATTTTGTGAATCCTCTGCTTTTTTGTACTCTCACTTTATCGTAATATACACTACTGTTAAATTCTACAACTGAGTTGTGCACACATCCATTATTGGTGTCAACTTTAAACCTTGCTTCTTGTGGTTTTCAGCCACTTATTTAACAGCCTGCAGGTCAGTCACATAGCCCGGAGTGATAGTTGGTGACTAAAAATTATCACTTATCAACTTGGTTTTCCACCTTGTACTCTGACAAACATTGCTTGCCGTATGGGCTGACTTAGCGCAAATAACACATGTCGGGGTCTCTACAGCCAATATTAATACATAGCTTCATCTATTGTTTTACTTTTATGAGCACTGCTGACTTTGTTTGGTGCTTAGTGATTCACACATCTAGTAGGTATGTTGTAAGTGAGGTCTATCAAACATAATAGCGCTTCCTACACATTGTTTCACTGCTATTTTACGTTAAATAACAATTTATCTGGGACTGATAAAGGTATGTGGTTGCAACTCGTAACTGCGTCTCATTCATTGAGATAAAGACTTATCATCTTAATAGTCCGTTTTTCGCTTAGTGAACGCAAGATTTCGAGCACAATTTATTCCATCTAAGTTAGCGTAGACATGAGTCCTGAGGTGTCCGAGGCATTTCAAAAGTCGGAGATGGGGTTCAGGGATCTCAAGACATTTTATTCAAAGTATCAAGGAAACATTATTTTGATAGATTATGGTGTTTATGTATTGTGGGAATCGCAAGATTTGTATGTGTTGTATACCATTGCCATTTACACAGTATTCAGAATATCGTTTCTGGTGAATCAACAAAATGTTAAATATTGATCAAAGATTTGTAAACAAACGCATTTTAATTGATGGTTTGTCGTTTCGAGATTATTCATCTGAATTGCTGTAATTAGTCTGTTCTCAAAGGACTAATCATCAAATCTCCCTAAAATTCATTTCTGACAAAGTAAATGAATTAGTAACCTCTTATCGAATCATTTATATGGGTTCGCCTAAAGTTCAATCAACTCAATAAATGGGAACCAGCTGTAACTTTATTCTTGGGAATATTTTTTTTGTAGAACAAAAACGCTAGCACTAGACATGCTCACTGCATTGTGTCTAATTGAAGGTGGACACGTAAAAGTCTTGCAGTCATTCGACAGGTTACGCGTTGTGATGGGTGAAGGATTGAGATTTGAGCTTCTTTTGGCAGCATTCAGATACCACGAATCGCTTGATGTAGAAAACTACAATCTAGATTTTGCAGTGAGTTTTTCTATTTTGTTTCTCATGATCTTTGAGTAATCAATTGTTAATTTATTGTCACAGAAAGATAGCTGGATAAGATTTACTCCTTCACGAGTATCTATAAATTTTTAATGTACGTCTGCGTGGGTGTAGTTCAGTAACTTGAAGACTCAAATCTTCAAATTAACACTCTGAATCCCCTTCAACTATATGAGACAGTTGGGTTGACATTCTTAGGCAAACATGTGTATTCTGTATCATCACACAGTTCGAAAATTTATTTAGTTGGAACATATTAAGTTTCACATTAAAATAGTTAAAACAACTGGTTAAACTGATTTCACTATTCGAACTAATTAGTCATATGGATATGTAGTGGACGGTTAGATCACAATTCAGAACTATTACTCACTGCTAATGAAAACATCTGGTTGACGGTTTTTTAGTGGAAACGTCCGCCTTATTTTCATATAATAACTACTGAATACTATTTTCCTTATCATATCTATACTTTAGGAGAATATCTTTTAATTAAAAGAAGTGGCTCAAATTACATCTTTGTCCTGTAAAAATGTAACGTATTGTTCACCATAAACAAGGGAAATATATAAAAATGGTTCCCTATCATTTCCATTTCTCAAACTAATTATCGTCCCAACACGTTTGTTTGAAACTATGAGATATGAAGACCGGTTAAATAATTCCGTCACCAGTTATATTAGCTGAACTTATTTATTTATTTAAACACATAACCATTGGTACGAAAGGGCACCAAATACATATGCGCCATACAATAACAATGAGGCCAGTACTAGTTATCATTGATGTAGGTGAGGGATGTGATACTACCCGGGTGCCCAAACCGAAGCAGATGGTTTTCTTAGGGGGTCACACCCGGAGCCTTTGGCCTGAAGGTATAATCCACATAGCAGTGGAGCAACTTTGGGAGATGTAGTCTCATAGTAACCGGTGACTAACAATTGGTTCATACGTTTTTTGTTCCCCCAGGGTCCTGAAGCCCATGTGCACCATCGGTTTGGAGTCAGAGTTTCGCAACTCCGGCGCTTTAATCGGATTGGTGGATACGGAAGATCCACTAAGGGGAGTTGGAAAACCCTGATTCCAAACCAATGGTGTATATGGGCTCCAGTATCCTAAGGAAACAAATGGCGTATGAACCTAATGTCGGTCACCGGCTACCATGAGACTGCATCTCTTTACGTTGCTCCACTACCTTATGGATTAGACCTTTAAGGCGAAGGCTCTTGGCGTGGCCCCCTGAGAAAACCACCTGCTTCGGTTTTGGCACCCGGGCAGTATCCTAGCTCTCACATAAATCGAATAATTTATGTGGCGCACATCTATTTGGTGCCCGATTGTACCGATGTTAATATTTTTAAATAAATAGGTGTATCCTCTATATCCACAAATCTGATTAAAACGTCGGACACTCACTTTTCGTCCTCTCCATTTTGTAAACAACACCCCACTGCGAGAAGTCAGGGAGCAGGGTTTTCGTGTTAGTGGTTGTATGCGCGTGACCATGTGAGAGCATTTCGAGATGGAGCACTGAATCTCCCCAAACTCGGCCACAACAGGACATTTAGGAACCCTGAATAATTCATACAGGTTTATAGTTCAGTTAAATTTTTCTTCCCGGACAGTATGTAGCTTCTGAATGCTTCATTGGTTTTTTCCATGTTCACTGTTGAAACTTTAATACTTAAAATGTATGGATTCATGAGCTTATATTTTAAATATTCAATTTTTAAAGGTAACTTGCGTACAGTTTCTCAATATTATTGTTCATTCACCAGAGAATATAAATTTACGAGTATATTTACAATATGAACTCCACCTACTTGGATTTGATGATTTGTTAAAAGTAAGTTCTATGTTTACCCAATGAATTCTCTACATTATATCAGTTCCCACAATAAAGATTTTATCCTAATTTTAAGACTTGGTTCTATAACATTAAAAGAGCGTTCTCACGTTTGCCATATTCTAGATATAAAATTTGTTAATCAGTCACTTGCGTGACACAATTTCATACTATGTTGAGTCACTCTTCCAGTGAATATTTCAAAGATCCTAATAATATTCACTCAATCTTTGGTAATAGTGACTATAGTAATACCTATAGGGCTTAATTTATCTAAGTGATGAATTAATAGATCTACTATTTATACTACAGTGTCCTCTCATACAGGTTAATAAATCCAATATTCCCAACATCCCTCAACTTACAGTATTCATAGTATTAGTGTCCACTTGGCTATGTATGACAAGATATATAATTTATTTATACCTTCAGATTAGCTCCTAGCCACGAAATAATCATGATTTAAGTCCGTATTGTACTTTACTTTTTAAATTTTGATGTGTCACGTCAGTGTTATAAGTTCTTTCAGTCTACTTTAGTTTAAATGAACTTGCGTTAGTTTATCAACTTTTATTGTTTACTTTCTAGACGATTAAGTATGATAATAAGTTACAAACAAAGTATAATTTCATGAAGTTTTTCATAGACATTGTTATGACTCGTAAGTTGAACGTTTTATTCGGATCCTAGCTATTCGGATAACCCCAGGCTAGCACTACTCAGCGACTTGGAAGACCAGAGAAAAGACACGAGTATCAGAGAAGCACTTTACTACAAGGTTCAATTATGTACAGAAAAACAGGGGTTTTATAGTAGCTAAAAGACCTTGAGATCCCATAGTAACAGTATGTTAACAGCCAATCAGGACCTTGTTATTTTAGTGGCATTTTAGTAGCATAGCTTCTAACTAATCGCTGATTGGTTGGTCTCTTTATGAGCCTCTCTGGAGGCTCTGATAGAGTTTATTGTAAGCCGATCTAACAGACATTGTACATTTTTAGAACATTACACAGTACGATTCGGGCAACCTTCTCGTTATCGTACAAAAGTCGCATCCATTAGTTCTCAATTTCATTTCAAGACTTATTCACTTGTCGTATATTTATGTTAACAGGTTTATACTGTATGTTTTAATTGAGGCTAAGGTTATCAGCTAACCATTTTGATTAGCAAATGTCCACAACTGTAAACAATTAAAAAATAAATTTCTAGTAAATAGTGCAAATGGTATTAGTTTATTCACGAAGTACCCCAATTTATGTATGATGCAACTATTTGACCAAATTATTAATGGCTCAGCTCAATAATTTAAAGTACAAACAATATGTGGGGTTATTGAGACTTATTTCAAAAATTGGTCGATAGATCTTATATTTATTTATCCATGCTGTAATTCTTCGTTTGGTTAAGGAGCATTTCATCGGTTTATTAATATTCAGCATCATTCTTGCGTCTTACTTTAATGTAAGAATTATTCTGTGAGTCTAAACTAGTTTTTTTTTGTGGAAGATGAATCCTAAGGATCCTCTAACTTGAAATTACTCATGGCGAATTCGCTTTCAAAGTTTGTAACAAATTCTCAACATTTGTACATTAACATGAACAGCGTTTTTGGCTATATTCATGTCCTATGTTCACGAAGTATCCCAAACTCACTTAATACCAGTAGGTTTTATAGTACACCTAGAAATTGTAGGATATACACAACCTTTTTTGTGGTAAATATATTAACTCCAGTAAGTGGTTATCCAGAAAACCCAATTTTGAGTCGCGTAAAATCAGAGTAGTTGACATTGACATACTTTTTACGTACTATTAGTTGTTACTGATTATGTTGTATTGATATAAGTTAGATGATTGCTTTTTTTGAGTTTTCATTACACATACTTGGATCTACAAACCTGATCAGCATTTCGAATCTTAGTGGTGTAACTCAATAATAAGTAAATTATCTTTACTTTCGACACAATTGCATTCCTACCAAGCTTTTTGTGTAGGTAAAAGTTGTTGATCATCTTTCAATTGGTCAAAATAACACAAATACATGACTGTACATGGAAACATGATGTTTAAGTATCTATTGTACGTTTTGCAATATCAAAGGGTTAGAAAACATTGGCGTAAAACTACAAATGATTTGTTTTCAACCATAGTTTATCAACTCCATTTTTTTTAATGATAAAAGTAGGGTTGATGTATACTACGCAAATGTACTTGATAAGTAGATTAAATTACTGTTGTTATTACTATTATAGGCACTTCTACTAGGATAGTATCAATCGTAGCGGTCTTAGTGACTATTGTGAATCAAGATCACAAAATTGTATTATGAATGCAAATAATGAACTATTTAATTAATTTCATACAAAAATATTATATAATACTTTATCCCAATATTATTAACCCTATAACATTTTTATCAATTTTCGTAATTCGTTCGCCTTTTTTTATAGCAAATTCGTGATCGTTCTGGATCACGATTAAAAGTTCAAATTGAAGCCTATTTAGATAATCGTGTAGATTGTTCATTACTGCTAGAAGATGCTGAAGCTAAAGAGGCAGCTGTTCTGGAACAAGAGCGTTTAGAAAAACAATTGGAATCAGAAATGATTATATCTAAAAAATCTGAAGAGAATTTCAAGGTGTGGTTGTTTTTCGTTTATTCTTCCTAAGTTAATAGTCTTGTTTTGTGTGATTTATTGAAATGTCCGTTTAAATCGTCACATATTTACTTCGATCTTGATAAATCTTCTGACTGAACGCTTAAATCGGTTTTTATAAGCTTTTCTAATAATCCTAGGCCAAATCTATGCTTGATGCTAATTACGATTTTCTCGGTAAACGAACGAAGGTCAATGATACAGTGACAAGATAGGATAATATAATCCATTGTCTTAGGCCCCGTTAACTAGAGAAAGAAGTCCAAGACGAAGTAGGGGAAAATATATTCCGTAAGCAGTCGTAGTACAAGCAGTCGTAAGGGGGAAAACTCATATATATATATATATATATATATATATATATATATATATATATATATATATATATATATATATATATACAGCAATAAATTGTCTTTGGGCAGCATTACAAAATAGCACATTCAAAGATACAACGGACCAATAGCATTTAAGATATTTTACAAGTGGGAAATTCGACTGGAAAGTGAAAAGAGCGCTTTTGGCGCGAAAACGAAGAACTTCAAATTTTCAAAATAAAATTACAAAATTAGGCCATTTACCTTGTACGTTCTGGGGATTTAACATCCCTAACAGCGACAGTTTAAACACGGGAGAAAAGAAGCGAAATATGGAGAGAATGTTTTACTACAAGGTTCTGGAACGCTACTAAACATAGTATCAAGATAGGCAATCATCCACTCAGTAGTGTAGCACGTGACTCTTCACTTTCTAGGTGGTTCCAAGAAACTTCTATTCAGTGCTGATTAGACAAAGTGTTTCCTAGCGTCTTCAGGGCCGCTCCGGGCTTTTTTTGAGGAATATTTTAGACCTCCCCAATAGATCTATTGTTTTATTTGAGTATTCAGTGTTTGATTTTTGCGCTTTTCTAAAGTTAATTCCACAAACTTGATACAATAAGTGGTATGAGTAATGTATCATAAAAAGCACTACATATTCACCATATACTCAATCTGTGTTAAGATGCTTAAAAGAAAGTGTCACAAGCCTTGTATTTCGCCCTGCATCAGTTGGTGCTCATCGATAAAGGGGATCTGCCTGCTGCTATACTAGGTAATATGAAGTGGATCAGAAAAAAGTTGGCAGAAATCGTGCTACGGTTTATAAAGTCACTAACTGTCAAACTTTAATCTTGCTAAGAGATGCGGGCATCCTGGCTGAGTTCTCACTGATCCTTTGGTGAACGATTTAGGTATTATGGGCCAATACCAGCAAAAAATATGCAAACGTACCTATTTCTTATTTTCCTTCAGGTTTCAACTTTTAATTTTGTTTTATAATTCATTCCATGATTTCACTCACTTATATTTAGCTAAATTTCCAAATTGTGACGTTTTTTCACTGCTATTGATACTACCATTTAAACCCATTTGATTTTCGCTTGGCTAGTTTCCCGTCCTCATTTGATTGAACTGAAATTGACTTGAGCCAATGAGTACTTTCATCAGGTTTCATATTGTCTGTAACTAACCAAAGAAATTGTTGCTACCTTTGAAATCAAGTGGAATGCTATCTTATGACTGTGCTCAAACTATATTTCATTAAATATGTTCTCTCTGCGGTCTTGTTTCTGACAAAATAGAAAGACAAAATGGATATTCTCCTACTGTAACCAAGTTAAAAAACATAAAGATTCACCCAGAAAAGTAGCAAAATTTAATTTCCAGTCATTTAGTGTACAGTTTGGTGATTTCCTCAGTGTATGTCCTATCCACTTGCAGTATCTTTTCCTAATTTTCTCTTCAACTCGAAGCTGGTTTGTTCTCTCCCATAGTGGGTGGTTGCTGATGGTATCCGATCAACGGATGTTGAGTATCTTTCGTAAACAATTGTTTATAAATACTTGTACTTTTTTGATGATGGTTGCAGTAGTTCTCGAAGTTTCAGCTCCGTACTGTAGGACTGTGTTGACGTTCGTATTAAAGATTCTAACTGCCTCCAACCGAATAACAGTTAATTTAATGTTGATTAGTGGTTAAAGTCTGTCTAGAGGTTCATCATGTGGACAAGTATTTTGACCATACCAGTTTGACGATAGAATCAAATCGATTATATTTGGTGGCTTAAAAGTTAATTCACGTAAGGTCGGCCTATGGAATCTCTTCTACTTGTGAGTAGCCATAGTTGTGTAACGAATTGAGATTTATCACAAACATAATGTAGACAAATAGAAAAGATCCACAAGGCCTAACCAATTGGCCTCATCTTTGAATTGTTTCAGTAGAAATCCGGTACTTAATTTTAACATTGACAATTCATTCATCTGACCTAAATTCTTTTAAAATCTTCAGCTCAAAGAAACTGAACTTCTTCGTGTTGCTGAATCATTACGTATGAAAAAACGAGAATTCGAAGTAGCTGCTGCTGATCGTGAATCTGCATTGTATAAACAAATCAATGAATTACATCGTAACATTCAGTTGGCTCAACTAGAAATATCTGATTTGAGACAAAACTTGCATCTTTTGCAAACGTGTACCACGAAGTCATTTACTACAATGTCCACTTCAACACATTTTGAAAATTCAAGGGGGAATTCATCAATAGCAAACAATAGTACTAACCCCAATTCCTCATCTGATCCACCCACATTGGTAACGCGAGCTATGTCTACCGAAGATAATTTTTCTTCTTTGCACCACTGTAACGGTAACAATGGGAAACAAGATAATTATCATCCTAGTCCTTCTGGCTCCGAAACCTCATTAAACACTGACACTAGGGACATCAACTGCAATAAACAAGGCTCTTCAAGTGTTTATACCGACGCAACTTCATCATTAATGTATCAGCCTAAATTGGATGTTCAGTATAATACTGAAAAGCAACAAGAAGCACCCGTAAAACCCCAAAGAAAAATAACGGATCAAAAAGTAAATAATCTATGTAAGTGATATTTAGTTACATACTACTGGTTAGCAGTAGGATGTCTAAACTGTGTAAAATTAATCAAAAACCTTCATGTCCTGGATCATTAAGTCAGAATCTAGCGGGTATACAACGAAGCAGTTCGCTCCTTTATAGATGCTGAACGGAATATTTATTTTTCTTCACAAGTCCACTGGTGACCGACTATTTATATTCACACTAAGTGAATTTTCAGTAATTTCAGCACACAAAAAATGACTGTGCAACTTTTATTTCTCAGTTAGTGTATGGTAAAACTTTCTTTTATACAGAAATCATATTCGTTTACTACATAAAAGCCTTGAGTAGCTTTCTTTTACAGTAATAAGCACGACTTTTCAACAAAGATTTTGAAAACCTCCACTTCAATACACGAATTGTAAATAATTTTTTTAGTGTCATTTGACAGTCGTGAGAAGAATACACCATAATAATGCGGCAGCTATACACACAACCAACACTTTTTTCTAACTTTCTTACACCATGAAAAGGTTATTTCAATCTTATTAATTGTGAAGTTGGAAAACTTATCAGTGTTAGTTTTTCCGAACTGTGAGGATTCGTACGTATCATAAAAATATACTTGCATACCACTAGTCAAGTGCGAGCATTTTTTTTAACTATTTGTTTTCGATTTAATAGTTCCAGCTGCATATTTCTAAAAAATTTTCTACTGATACTCAGAAAAAAATTGTATGGTAAGTGCGACTAACTATTTCAAAGTCTTCATCTTGATCATAAATAGACAACATCCCCGAATATACTCGTTACCTGTAAGAAACAACTCACCGCTATCTCATACCTCAATATAATTGACAGCATAACGCCTTAGAATCCAACATTTGTCGATTTTTATCGTACTAATTTCGTCAATAGGCCTTTATAGTTCAGTTAAACCCCATAAAACAGCTATCCCGATCGTTGCTGCTACCTTGACGTGGTGGTCGGGCTTGCCTATCGTGATGAAGCAGTCGAGCTATGCTGGCTGGAACAGTCGTTCCTCGAGGTCCTACCATGCCAGACAGGTCGGTTGAAGAGCGGTGAGACTAGAAGCAGCAAACCCAAGGTCCGAAGGCGAAGTCGTACTGCTGACTGTACAGAGGTGTGACGGCAGTAAGGTGTTTCCTTCAGACAACCAGCATGACAGCGATGCTGCCTTCCCACAAGGAGGGGTGGGGTTAGAAAAGGTCGACCCTAAAAATGCACACCTCGCCTTATCCCACGGATTTCCGTCTCCGGTGGTAAGGTTTTTTTTTGAAGAACGGAGCTAACACAAAAACTACCCACAAAAAGGTCGTGTGTGACCGACCTCAAGCAGTTGTCCCTTGGGCACTGCGGTCACGCTCTCAGGTCATTAAGACCACTCCTAACCCAAGTTCCTTTTCAGGTACCTCTAGAAGAATCCTTCCACGCTGTGGGCAACCGGGAAGTGATAACTGCCCTCATACCTCTAACAGCACTCAAGACCACTGTATTCATAATCAATCTTCTTCAATTCCTACTAATGTATATTAATGGAATGAATTATTAGGATAGGGGGGATCGGAAACTATTTTTAGGTGGTTGACAAACATCAGAATGACTTCTAGCGCATTATGTATCCTTTTTTCCATCTTTTTCATATTTGTTTGTTTTAGTTCCATCTTGTACCCTACGAAATTCTACTACATGCAAACAGTTAGCTAACCAAGCAGCTAATTATTTAGCCGAACTAGTCAAATTAGTTTCTAGTTTATCAGCAACAGAACTGTTCAGTGCTGAACATGATTCATCCAATGATCATTTAATTATGATTTATCCAATCGGTTGGGAATTTGCATATCTTCCTCCTTGTCCTTCTCATCGATATCATGATGATAGTGTGACCACACAATTAACAACATCACTGGATACTATATTCAACGATCAAATATTCAGGACATGTTATTTAGCGAATATATCTATGAAAGCTGAAGGAATCTGTACCAACTCCGAAGATTTCTTTCATATTTATTCTAATCAACTACCGGATTTATGGTTTAATGCATACAAAAAAATATCACAGAATTTATCAAACAAACAACAAACTTTAACATCAGTTAATTCATTGCATAAGACTGATGATTCAGTTAATACAAAGTGAGAATAATCTTTCTATTCAAAGTTGTTTTTGGAACTATCTAACATTTCCATTAAAATAGTAAATACCTATTATAAAAAAAACATTAATGATAAATATTGTTCATCGTAACGTGGTTAACAGTTATTTCATTTTATCATGTGCCCCCAAATGCCCTGGTACGGCCGAGAGTGGGGAGAGTCCGCTCTCCCTCTCCAAACGCTCTCACATGGACGAGCGAATATATAGCCTCTGCCAGGGAAGTCCTACTCAATGCCTTCTCGTGATGGGGGTGTTGTTTACGAAATTGAGAGGAAGAAAAGCGAACGTCCGGCGCTTTAACCGGGTTGGTGGATGTGGAGGATCTACCTAGGGGAGTTGGAAAACCCTGATTCCAAAGTAATGGTGCACATGGGCTGGTTCCAGTATCCTGAGGGAACAAATGGCGTATGAACCTAATGTCGCTCACCGGCTTCCATCGGACTGCATCTCTTTAAGATGCTCCACTGCCTTGTGGATCAGACCTTTAGGTCAAAGGCTCGGGGTGTGGTTCCCTAAGAAAACCACCTGCTTCAGTCTGGGCATCTGGGCAGTATCCCAGCCCTCACACAAATCAAATGAGATTTGTGAGGCGCATATTTATCTGGTGCTTGCTTGTACCAATATTTATGTGTTTAAATAAATAAATAAATAAATAAATAAAACATTTTATCGTGTAGAGTATTTTAACTGACATACATCTATGATTTTATTTTACCTGGATTATATTTAGATCTAGATAAAACTTGTGCTAATTGTTAATCTTAGCGGAAAAATGTAGTAGAAACTGAAAATTAAAGTCTTACTGAACTATTTCTTAATGGACAATTAGCTTAATTGTTCAACCATCTGATATTGAATCAGTGAACCCGAGGTTAAAACTCCTCTTGTACACATACTTTGTTTTAGAAAACCACGTAGTATCATCAACATTCAAATCAATTTTGTCTCAAAGCCGAGTACATGAAATCTTCACATGATCAGTATTTTTTTTAGCTCGGACAGACGGTCCAAGTCGGATGGATAGCAAGGCCTTCTTTTCTATTGAGGGCAGTAGGATTTAGCAATATATGGAGGAGCTTCATTTACTCGCGTTTCTTTGTAGTTAGAAAAACCGTTTTGTATTATTTTGATATTTTTAATATCGACTTGATTGCTGTTGAAATTTGCTTTTAAGCGTACAATATTTTTTTAGGTAAGGCTATTCTCAGGATGATTGTCATCACAACATAATATTGGTCAGATAGTCATTTTAAAACTGATAGCGAAAGCAAATTATATGAGACTTCTCAACCGCGCTCATTCATAATATTTTATGGAATCAATATTATGGCATTGTTAGTATTACTAATATTATAGCTACCACTAACTGAAGTGTTCGTTTTCTTCGACTATTCTTTGATGCGTAAACGTATGCTGTTTATAAATTAATAACACTGAACGAAACGTGATTACTCAACTTTATTAGTTATTTGTGATATTATTGTTGTCATCGTTGTTAAACAACTTCATTTTTTTTAATAATCTTACATGTCTTGTTCTTTGTGCATTCTTCTCGTTCCTTAGACATACAAACATTTTTGATGATCTCCATAGATTGGGACTTTTAGAAACCTCCTCTAATAATCAGTCACTGGAAAATATTGAAGCAGTCAAAATCATCTGTAAGGATAAGGAGATCAAAGATAATTTCTCTAAATCAAAATTAACTGAATATTTATTACATTTGAAATTGAATCCTATTATTGCACAACGTTTAATAAATGAAATTTATTATATAACAGAAAATCTTATAAGTAATAATAATAATAGTTTTATGATAATGAATTCATCAACTATTGAATTATTTGATCAAATGGAAAACATATTTCAAAAGTATTTTAATCAATTTAATATGGACAAATTATTCTTTTGTATTACTGATACTAATAAAAATCAACAACGTTGGTTCTATTTACTCAGTTTACTTCATGGTAATCTTATTAAATTTACTCTAATTGAAGAATTGAAACTTATTAACGAGGTAAGATTTTATTTGAAAAAAAGTATGCATACATTGTTATTTATTAATTTATTGTAAGTATGGATCTTTTGAAAAACGCTTTTAAATTCCTCTGAAAACTCAACTTAATCCAGCTATAATAGACGGATTTTTTTTATATATTTCCATTCCGAATTCAGTTGAACGCACCCGCGCCACAAACCATTCGATTTGTGTGAGGGCTGTGATACTGCTCAGGTGCCCAAACTGAAGCAGGTGCTTTTCTTAAGGGGTCACACCCAGAGCCTATGACCTGAAGGTTTAGTCCACAAGGCAGTGGAGCATCGTGAGGAGATGCAGTCCCATGGTAGCCGATGACCAACAATTGGTTCATACGCCATTTTTTCCATCAGGATCCTGGAGCCCATGTGCACCATTGGTTTGGAATCAGGATTTTCCAACTCCCCTAGGCGGACTAGTCGTGTCCACCAACCCGGTTAGAGCGCCGGACATTCGCTTTTCATCCTCTCAATTTCATAAACACCCGTGGTGCGAGAAGGCAGTGGGTAGGACTTCCCTGACAGAGGCTATATTCGCGTGGCTATGTGAGAGCATTTGGAGAGGGAGAACGGACTCTCCCCACTCTCGGCCGTACCAGGGCATTTGGGGGCGACTGTTGTCGTTGAGTTCGATTCAGTCGTATGAATTATATGGTGATATCCTGTCTTTCTTTATTGAGGTAATTTTGTATAAATTTGTACAGGTCGGAGATAATTTTCGTCACGAATTCACATCATCTGGAAGAGTTGTTAAAAATCAAATGAACACTACAATTTTTTCCTCGTCTTAGATGTATACTCCTTTTCTTCTTAAAATGTTTACTTTTCGTTTGTTTGTTTGTTATTCCTCCCCACAGAATATATCATTAGTTCTTGAATGTTGTACAAGTCTACTAGTCAGTACTAAATTACCATTAATTATACAATTAGTTTGGAGATGTACAAATATGTTATTGAATAACCACAAATCAACTGGTTTTCAATTGAAAAGTTTAGATTCTGTAAGTTTTGTTTCTTTGTTGCCATGTTAACATTTATAAAAAATGTACTGGAAACAATCTCATTATTTACTGCGTTTTGATTGAAAAAAAAGCTTATTGACTGCTGCTACACTGGCAGTCTTTTCATGCTTTTGTTGCTTTGTGTGCACTAGGATGGCTGTGTAATCTGCATAGTCTATTTCATCCAACTGTGTCCAAATTGCTCACTGTATTCTGTACATCTTCTGAGATGTAGAATTCTTCATAATCAAGTCAACACCTAACAAGAAGAAAAAAACGAGAGCAGACATCCTTGTCTAACTTCAGTCTTAAATTTGAAGCATCTATGAGTTGCCTTGTATGCATGAGTTTGCAATGCAGTTTTTCTTAGTAGTTTCGTATAATGGTGACATTTTCCTGCGTCAAAGATTTCACAAGGTTTCCCTATCCATTCTGTTGAATGCTTTCTCATAATCAAGGTAGTCGATGCACAGCAGCGAGTTCCATTCTATTGATTGTTCAACAATGATCCGCAGTATCGCGATTCGGCAGAATAAGGCGAACCCCGATATGTAATATATTTCAAAGTAATGTATTTATGTGAAAATTATATAGGATACTCGTATCATGCTCTATAACCGTCTACTATCACTGGTTGGATTCCTAAGAGACTAATCAGCACTTCTGCGGTTGAACAATTTCAGTCCGTAACATCAATGAAAGGATTCAAACATCCTTTACAAATAAATCCAAATCCATCCCGTCACACAAATCAGTAGCTTTCTGGACTCAATAATTAATTGAATAACGCATTGGGTCTCTTAAAGAGAAAATTACCAAATTTTATTCCCGATTTTAACATAAACACGGGTACACATTCATCTGGTTGATTAGTCCCTGATAAAATGAGAAATGCGTCCTAGATTCCACGGCTAACCACCATCCAATTCTGCTTAAAATAGCGAACAACTACTTTCAATTCGTTATAAGAGATGAAAGTATAGCTAATGGTGATTCATTTGTTTTAGTTAGTGTTTTTATTGCTTCGTTCCATTTAAAAACGTTATGATTTAGCTGAGTCATCTTTACTTTTGGTTTTCTCTCTCATTCGATTATTTGTTTGCTTAAATAGTTGTGTTTTGGCTAAAGACAAATTATTTTTGATAGTCTTCGTGAATGTTGTGTCTGCATGTATATGTTTATACTTAGAAATGGTATCAATTTGACAGTCTTGTTGTCTTTCAGCTCATATTAACTTGGTTAGTAGTCTTGTCTGTTTTTTCTACTACTATTCGTCCGGATTATTTTATGTACAGTAGATATTTTAAACTGTTGAAAGCATATAGTAATAGTAAATACGCTAACTGTGAAAATCGTCTTTATTTAATCTACATTTATCCTTCAGTAGTTTCTTGCTTATTTTACAATTTGTAGTTGATATTCGTCATGGATTAGTCTCTTTTGGGGTACCAATGAAGTATCTACTCAGTGCTATCTGGTTTCAATAGTATCCATACTGAGATCGATCCGTGATGAATACACCCTCTCCCTCAAAATAAATTAAAATTTGTACAAAACCATTTCATCTAAATTATGTAAATATTGTTAATTCTTTTCGTTAGAAGTACAGTGCATTTCCATAGTAATTAATGTAGTAAAATACTCATAATAATGTCTAACTTATGTAACATGTTGCAGATTGATATCCTAGAAATCGACTGTCTACATTAATATATAACTGTTATTCAGTAATTGGAAAACTTGTTACTCGAAAACTATGAATCAATTTTCTGTTTGTGAACTATTATGTATCTTGAATATTGAGTTATTGATTCTAAATGTCATTAAAATAAGATTGGTATTTCCACAACTTGTGTTCCTTGGTATGTATAGTTTCTTTGGGCGTATGTATCTGCATCCTAGTATTGATTACTTTTATTGTAACTTGAACACTATACTTATCGTTCCAAACTGTAGACGGTTATTCACTAGGTTACTAAATCTACAATAGTCAACAATATGATCAACTTGGTTTGATATTCATTATTAGTTGTAAATAGTTGTGTGAAATAGTGCTCTCCTGTTTAGTACAGATCGATAATATTTATGTCCAACGTTCTCTTGGATTCAGGTTTCAAGCACGTATTCTGTCACAGCTTTCTTTGTGAAAGTATTTACACTTGTGATGGGAAGGAATGTGAACTTCATATTTTCATCCCTGATAAATCATTTCTTATCCGATAAGTCATAATATCTTGTTTGAAAAATTTGAAACAATGCATTAAGTTATCTGTCTGATAGTTTCTCCTTCTGCTATTTATTCAGTCGAGGTTTGGAAATAGGTTCTGTGAGCTTATGATTACATGCAGTAGGTTCCTTTTACGTATTTAAACAAAGTGTTATTCATTAAATTGATTATTCATATCTTCTCTGGTGTTTAAATGAAACCATATGGAATGTTTCTGACATGAAGTCTCATTGATAAACACTGGAATGTTTTACAACTTAACCCTATCGTTCCACTGTGTGCTGCTTAAACACTCGTCATTGTCTGTTACCAACATTTTATCTAATCATTGTTTATGTACGAATAAGGACGATTCTTTATTTTGATAGCTTTGGAATTGTCTGAAAAAATTCATATTGTTTCTTTGCTTCTAACTCCTAATATTTTTGTAACCATTGATATGTGATATAGTTATTTCATACACCTTGATATATATTACTCACGCCTTTTAACCGTCGTGGAGGTGCATCGGATCTTGTTTTTTCCCTAGTGTACGTTGAGGCTTACTGATCAAGAGACTCTTGCTACACTAGTTGTCTTGCTTTTCATTTGTTGATGTGTATAGAATAGAAGGTATAAGCCAACTGCGAAGTCCAAATCGTCTAGTTGCATGCAAATTATCCATTGTATTCCGTAATTCCCTCAGGTGTGGGGGTTTTCATACTCCAATCAACCATCAGAAGGAAGAAAGGGAGAAGGTAATCCTCAGTATGAATTCCGGATGATGTTGACGATTTTTTCAGGTACACCATATATATATATATATATATATATATATATATATGCCTTCTCAACTTTTCTATGCTTTTAAAATTCTAGCTGATAGATTGGCAGTTCACGTCTCCACGAATATCTAATACCAAAAGTCAAATAGTCCAACACGATCAACAATCCTCCATAACAGAGATTCAAGTTAATGAGGTGAAGTTTTTGAAAACAGACTTCATGTCAATGTTTGTCAAATATATCATGAAAATTTCACCAAGTTTATTAAATTGGACATCGGAATTAAATCAGTTGGATGTTGTGTCAAGAAGTAAACTTTTATAAGATTGTATAAATGTTTTAAGTATTTCTTGTTTATAATTTGCTAGCTAGCTTGACTTTTTTTAACTTACGTCATTTGTGACAGAGATATCCATCTACCAACGCATGGGAAGTATGATATGCTCATGACATACGTTAACTCTAGATACTTTATCATAAATATTTTAGAAACATTTTTCGCTTTTGATAGAATGATGGAGTAAACAATGGTAAGGTTCGGGGTATGTTGTTCGGGTAAAGTTGACCAATTGAATGGTAAGACTGTGAGTCTTCAAGGATCAAAGTATCTGGGAAATGTATTAAGTATGTCCAAACAGTGCTTACCTTGGTACACAATGTCTACTGATGTTGGAAGAAAACTTTGAGCGACTAAGTCAAAACGTACTATCAGTCACTGAAATCATTGACTGTTAGTCTGAACCATGTTGGTAGTTTCAGACTACCCCGTTACGGGCTCACATAATATCATCAATCAGTGCTTTCAGAAGTTGAATGACATACTACCACTACTGTAGTGAACAAAACATTGGTTGGGACAATCGAATGTATTTAAGCAGAAATTACAGACTATCTCAGTAAATTCTAATAACCGTACAATGAACAAACTCCGCCTGTAGCTCCTCTGGGGGTTGCTCCCGGTCCCAAGCCCGGGTAAAGGAGGAGGGTTGGGCATGGGGTTAGCTTCCCCATCCCATAGAAAATCAACTCGCTAAAAAACGCTAACCAGAAAAAATCATTCAAACCATTTAAACTCTTCCCTAGGAGTAGAAGGAATAATTATGACGTCTCATGATGAAAGCCGAGTTCATTCGGAAGTCATGAGGCCGATGCACCTTCTTACAACCAGAGCAACAATTTTTTTTTGGACAACAACGACTGTCTTCAGGAGAACTTCTGTTATACTCCGGTCATGAAGAAGAAAATGCCCCACATACACAAAGAGTTGCATTGATGCTGTCCAGAAAAGCACAAAATGCACTTATTGGATGGGAATCTCATGGACCAAGGATCATCAAATCCTCCTTCAAAACAAACACAGAGGGCATTAGAATAAACGTCACCCATTGCTATGCGCCTACCAACGACTACGATGAAGACGCTAAAGACCAATTCTACGATAGCTGCAGTCGATCTTCGAGAAGTGCCCAACCAAGGACCTGACCATTCTGATGGGAGATCTCAATGCCAAGGTTGGAATGGACAACAGTGGATACGAAGACGTCATGGGACAACATGGACTGGGAGAAAGGAACGAAAATGGTGATAGATTTGCAAACCTATGTGCCTTCAATAAACTGGTCATAGGTGGCACCGTATTTCCACACAAAAACATACACAAAGCCACTTGGATTTCACCGGATCACACCACACAGAATCAAATCGACCATATCTGCATCAACAAAAAGTTCAGGAGGACGATGGAGGATGTGAGAACCAGAAGAGGAGCTGATATAGCATCCGATCATCATTTGCTGGTCGCCAAGATGAAACTAAAACTCAAGAAGCACTGGACAACGGTGCGGACAACATCACAAAAGTTTAATACGGCCTTTCTTCGAGATGCTGACAAACTCAACAAATTCAACATAGCCCTCAGCAACAGGTTCGAGGCCTTTCATGACCTACTCAATGGAGAGGGAACTACCATGGAGAGCAACTGGAAAGGTATCAAGGAGGCAATCGTTTCAACATGTCAGGAGGTTCTGGGCCAAAAGAAGCACCATCACAAGGAATGGATCACTGTTGGTACAATGGATAAAATTGAAGCAAGGAGGAACAAGAAGGCAGCAATCAATACCAGCCGAACAAGAGCAGAGAAAGCCAAGACACAAACCAAATACACAGAGGCAAACAAGCAAGCGAAGAGGAACATCAGAACCGACAAACGTAAATATGTGGAAGATTTAGCGATGACAGCGGAAAAGGCTGCAAGAGAGGGAAACATGAGACAACTGTATGATACAACAAAGAAACTTGCTGGAAATTACCGTAAACCAGAAAGACCAGTGAAAAGCAAGGAAGGCAAAGTAATCACCGACATTGAAGAACAACGAAACAGGTGGGTAGAACACTTCAAGGAACTCTTGAATCGACCAGCTCCACTGAACCCACCCAACATCGAAGCAGCACCCACAGACCTCCCAATCGATGTTGGCCCACCAACAATTGAAGAGATCAGCATGGCCATTAGACAAATCAAGAGCGGCAAAGCAGCGGGACCAGACAACATCCCGGCAGAGGCACTGAAAGCAAATGTAACAGCAACTGCCAAGATGCTCTACATCCTCTTCGGTAAGATTTGGGATGAAGAACATGTACCAACAGACTGGAAAGAAGGACTTCTCATCAAGATACAAAAGAAAGGCGATCTGAGCAAGTGCGACAAGTACAGGGGCATCACTCTCCTTTCAATACCAGGGAAAGTCTTCAACAGGGTATTGTTGATCGTGCACAGATCAAATCGCAACTCTACGTATCATTGTGGAATAATCAATCGAATGGAATTCATCACTGTACATCAACTTCATCGACTACGAGAAGGCATTTGATAGCGTGGACAGGAAAACACTATGGAGGCTTCTTCGACACTACGGCGTGCCTGAGAACAACAAATGCAGGAGAAAACGACCAGTGTAGCAGCAGCTTCAGCAGCAGTAGGTCTCAATATAAACAAAGGGAAAAGCAAGACTCTCCGATACAACACAATATGCACCAATCAAATTGCACTTGACGAAGTTTTCGAGGATGTGGAAACCTTTACATATCTGGGCAGCATCATTGATGAACACGGTGGATCAGATGCAGATGTGAGGGCGAGGATCGGCAAAGCAAGAGCAGCATATTTACAACTGAAGAACACCTTAGACTCAAAACAGGCGGAGACGTGGAGAACTACGAAAGCCATTATCCAGAATATACAAGTGTTTATTAACAGTTGTCTACGCAAGATACTTCGGATCCGTTGGCCAGACACTATCAGCAACAAGCTACTGTGGAAGACAACAAACCAGATTCCAGCGGAGGAAGAAATCAGGAAGCGGTGGAAGTGGATAGGGCACACTTTGAGGAAATCACCCAGCTGAGTCGCAAGGCAAGCCCTCACATGGAATCCTCAATGCCAAAGGAGAAGAGGAAGACCAAAGAACACATTACGCCAAGAAATAGAGACAGACATGAGAAGAATGAACAAGAACTGGATAGAACTAGAAAAGAAGGCCCAGGACAGAGTGGGTTGAAGAATGCTGGTCGGCGGCCCATCCTCCATTGGGAGTAACAGGCGAAAGTAAAAGTAAGTAATACAATGAACAGTTAATTTGCAAATTAACAAGCAGTTGTCTCAATCTTCACTGTTTCTTCTCTAATTCCATTGTTCATGCATTTTCCTACCGATTGCGCTTCATTTCAGTTCTTTCCTTATCGGTCTTCTGCCAAAATACATTCTATGTCTGACCAGCACCATATACTACTTATATAGATATAAGTAGACCACACCACACTCGTCCCCCCTTTAAAGCATCTGTTCGTTCGGTGGTTCTGCTCGCCATGCCACTACTACTCTTTTTGACTTCTTCGATGTTCATCTTTTCAATTCCATCAAATTGTGCTGATATGGCGTAAAAACTTGGGTTAACACATGTTTGTACTTGGCTCTAAGTTGATTATCGGAAATCAACTTCTGTTTTCTAATTTCATGGTTGAAGCCAATCGATAAAATAATTTAAATATCAGTTTTGTTATGGTTACCAGGCAGTATATAAATACAGGTCCATTTAAGTACGTGCTGATCAGTAACTCCAGATATTCTTGTTCTCCAATCAGTGTGTTACACTTCTGGGTTGTCATGCCTAATAACACTAATTAAGCGGTATTGTTGTTGCAATAGAAACTATACATTTTCCAAGTTAAAAAAATAGAGCTATAATGTAGTCGTGGAATGCTGTGGTTTGCAAATACTGGGTTGCTAGTATGGATCTCGATTTGGGTACCCGAATAGTAATCAGTGCTAGTCTTCCAACAACTAAATTGTAGTCTAAAATTGAATAAATTAAAAATCCTGTACTTAATATTTTCCGTTTGTATATATAGAAATCATTTATTCGTTAAAGTATAATAGCAATAGGTTCTACAAAGTTAAGCAAAATTGTACTTGATTTTTATTATAACTGCTCTCGTCGATAACAATAAATTGCATCACATCTCCTCAATTCTCTATAGTGACTAACTACTGCCTAATTAGTATTGATAAATTATAATGAAGTTCATGTTACATTAATTATTTTTATTGTTTTTTTTTCTAGTTTCAATATCTGATTTATTCAAACGTATAGAATATGTCAAATCAAATTTAACATTTTTAATTCATTATTCTAAAACTACTGAATTTGCAAATAGTAGTAGTAATAATTGTACTAATGACAATAATAAGGATGACAAAATGAGAAGCCAAGGTAATTTGTCATTAGAAAATGTAGCGTTGATTAGTCGTTTATTTGAATTTTTAACAAAAACATCAGAGACAGTATGGTGTATTTTACATTCAACTGCTTATTGGATTAAGAGATTTCAACCGACATCATTATCTACATCAACAAGTAATATGATGTTATCGGATGATTGGTTAAATCCACTTGTCAGATTCGCTTCTTCATTCAAGGTATGTGTATATTAGTTGTAAATTAGTTTCCTTTTTTAGAATTATGACAAGACAGTTTTTAAATTAGTTTCAAATATGAATTAATATCTAGTAGACAAATGCCATGGTATGGCCGAAAGTGGGGAGAGTCCGCTCTCCCTCTCGAAATACTCTTACATGGCCATACGTAATATAGCCTCTGCCAGGGAAGTCTTACTCACTGCCTTCTCGCACCACGGGTGTTGTTTACGAAATTGAGAGGACGAAAAGCGAATGTCCGGTGCTTTAACCGGGTTGGTGGAAACGGATAGTCCACCTAGGGGAGTTGGAAATCCCTGATTCCAAACCAATGGTACACATGGGCTCCAGTATCTTTTGGGAACAAATGGCGTATGAACCAATTGTTGGTCACTGGCTACCATGGGACTGCATCTCCTCACGATGCTCCACTGCCTTGTGGATCAGACCTTTATGTCGAAGACTCCGGATGTGGCCCCCTAGAAAAACTACCTGTTTCAGTCTGGGCACCCGGGCAGTATCACAGCCCTCACACAAATCAAATGAGATTTGTGTGGCGCATATGCATTTGGTGCTTTTTTGTACCAATATTTATGACGATCTAATTGAAAACAATTGTTCGCTTACATCTGTTCTTCTAATTTTCACAATGGGAATCTTTAATATTCCAATATTTATGTGTATAAATAAAATGTATGTATCTATTAGACAAATATGGAAACTTGAGAGGCAGTATATACATAGAATTTCCTTCTGTACTGAGAATTCTATATTGTATTAGATTATAATATTGAATAAAGCCACTAATTAATAATACACATTCCATGAATTCACCACTGACTCAGTCTATTACTTCTAAGTGCCATCTCACTTTCCTAGTTGTTGAGATTGTTGTCTAGTAAAGAGCACAATTAGAAAGATGTTTTTATAGTTATTTAGTCATTAGATCTATTATAGATTTTTGGACTGAATTTAAATAGATTGTAGTTGTGTATTTTTTTTATCATTTCATGGGCGGTTAACTGATAACATTTCGTAAAGTTAGTCGACTTCTAACTAATTAATTAACTGTACTTTTTTTTTGTGTGTGTGGAAAAATATAATATAAACAGGTTATGTTATCCGTTCATAACTAATCAGTGCCTGTAATTTTTCATCAAATTATAAAATTGTGACGTCCACTAACTTTCAATATACTAGTTAACCGTAACTGTTTTTGAAGAAAATAATGCTCCGTGTGTTTCGAACTAATGACCACTCATTGCCTCGTACAGAGAGACATTGACAATGAGCTATTTGATCGACACATGAAATCCTATAAGTTTGAGGTGTCATTTTTATTTTCTTCCTTTGAGCTAATTGAATTCTATCGAATAAGTTACAATTTAGTTAGTGATTTAAATGACTCGTCATCAAGTCCACTATATTTAAATGTTACTGCTAATCGACAGGAATAATTCAACACCCGTGTGTAAATGAATATGATCAGTCGGTATAAAGATAAAAAAAATTTGTAAAAACAGTTGTTGTTCTTTTTTACTGTTATGACTTATGTTATACGTTTTTCCATTTTTAAAGTTGCATGAATCACTACAGAAAACTGGTACTCTCATAAATTATCGCCTTATTTGTTGAATATTACAATTGTATATAATGATGATTTCTTCTTGAACTTGTACATTGATATGATGTCCATTAAATTAATAGTGAATAATATGTGTTCGAAGTTACACTTCATCACAATGGATTGAAATACATTGTTAGAGAATAATTGAAAAACAATGAGAGAGATTGCCTGACGATTGTTTGCAATTACTTATTTATTAGATTAACTAGTAGAATGTTGACTGGGTTTTTTTCATTGTAATAATATTGTGAATTGATTTTGATATATTAACGAGATACAAAGTGAAATAAAATATTAGCACTATTTAATTAACAAATCATCTTGATGCAGTTTTGAATGAATTAACTTGATACAAGAAGAGCAAACATGATAGATCTACCGTTTATTTCTAGTTTCCTTTAAGTTACAGTTAGAATACGTACATACATGCACTTAACTTCACCGTTTGTTTTCTTCAACAAAAGAACACTATTTTGTCATAATTTGTGTCTCATCTGTAAATACTGAATGATAAAAGGATTTACTTTGAAGTTAGTCATTTGTATTGTTCTATTGCTTAGGCTATAAGATAGTTGGTTTGATATTATTACCGATTATTTATAATTTGTACAATAAGTTTCCCAATCTGTAGAGTGGAAATAATTTCCACATGTCTTCAACTAATAATTCCCTTACTTTATTACTAAGAAAGTTAATCATCCTAGAAATAGGTTCCTGATAGTGCTTAGATATTTTTTAAAGTGTATATTTTCCGCAGCTGACTCCGAATACTTTTCTATCCTTAAAACCAAATTTAAAAAGTTACAAGTAATAGTAAAATAACTAAACGGAGCTACTGTATCAATTCATGAATTCATCTACTTTTAATGCTGACTTCTTGATTAGTGCCCGTAAGACAATCGTATTATATGCATATACTCAGTCAGCTATGATCAACACAAAACCTGAGAAAAATACACGTTGGTTCAAATTGTCATACTACAAGATACAACAAGATGAATAATAAAGCAGTCAAAATAACTGTAGTGTTAGTGATAGAGAGAAAGATTAAATACTAGAGAGTGCAGTTCTAAAAGGAAGAATGAATTCGAGAAACAAAAAATTCGAAGTAAAATTGAAACTCGTTGATAAGAATTAAGACAATTCAGCGAAAAAAATTTTCTATTAGACTATATCATTAATAATGTTCGTTTTGAGTTACTCAAATTCTTTGTTTGATATTCCTCAAAAACGGTTATCCATCCAGGCTTACCAAGTGTAACATAAAACCAAAATTATAATCTCTAAGATGTCATACATTTCTTAGGAAAGCTCTCTTCATGAACATAAAGTTCAAGGGAGATACTGCTGAAAAATGTTTGGAGAATCACCTGACGAAATCGATGAGCAAAAATGTTCATACTCCTAAATTTTACATATTGTTCTGATCACAAACAGCATTGAATTAAACGTTAAATATGTTCCGAAGAAATACCGGCGTAAAAAATGTACAGAAATTAACAAATACACTTCTGCTTATTAGTGATCATCTGAGGTCCTAGAATCATCTATCAACAGTGATTAGTTGAAAATCAATTAATGTACCATGTAATTAGGAATTTGTTCGGAGCCGTCAATAATTCCCCAAAGATGTCTTCAAAAGTCGGGAAAGTGGTGAACTCACTTCAGCTAATCAGGATTCTTGGGGAACTTTTGAGTAAATTCTGTACAAAAACAGATTTTCTTGTCATGATCCGATTGAAGAATTGCCGAATTCGTTATTCATTTAACATGTTTTTAATAACCTTTTGGATTCCTAAGGTCACACTTAATATTATAAATACCATTGTTGTCTGTTAATGTGCTAACTTTTGCATCGAATCTTCTCTTATTCTTCCTCTTTATTTTTCTGCTTGAAGCTTAAAAGTAGATGATTTTGGAGTAGGAAGCGGTTAGGAATCCAACATTAAAGTTTACAAGTATGAGAATATATCAGACGTTTATTCTTCTAACAATTTTTTCCATTGATTTCATTTTTTTAGTCACTTCAGTTCTCAAAATTATTGTAGAAAGCTAATATATGCAAGTGTATTTGCAGAATCTGCACACCGACAAACTATGAGGTGCGAAATTAAATAGGAATAGTATATTTGTAAAATCTCAGCGAATGAATTTGAAGTACATCCAACGTTTTACCTGGCAATCTGGTAAAGTAAATCAGTAATATAAACAATTAATGAATGAACTAATGCACACATCAAGTTAATGTTATTAAAAACAATAAAAAGTCTTAAAATTCTTAAGTATGTTTTACCGTATTCTATAAGTTTATTTCATATGCAATCAAAGATATGTCACTCGCTCTACTTATTCCCTAATTAATAATCAAATCTTAAACCATAAAAATTCTGTGAGTAAATTAGGATTTAAACAACTTCACAGAATCCCAATAGTTACAATCGACTTGTCAGACATACCATGGGAATATTTCTTTAACGCAACTTTATGTTTTAATCAATACTTATAATAAAAAAAGCTGATTGTTCATGAACAAATAAATAATATTCATACTGTTACTGATTTATTTTTAGAATTGTGTCAATGATCTCGATAGAAAATCACGTCATTCTCAAAATTCCTCATTAAATATACACGATACTCAGTCTTCTAGTCATTCACATCATCGTCACAGTCAAAAACATTTGAAAGAACAAGATAAGGTATGAAATTTAATTCTGTTTTCATTTCTCATTGAAAAAAGAACTTCACATTTTTGTTTGTTTGTTTTTTACAAAAAGGTTACTATGGCACAATCAACTTCTGGTATAATTGACAAAAATTATTTAAATACTTCTACTGACACTGAATAAACTATGTAAAATAAGATTACTCTTCCACGGTGTGGGCAGCCGGGAAGTGATACTAGCCCTCATACCCTTAACTGCACACAGTCAGTCAGTCAGCTACAACGTAGGACCAGGCACATTTATGCATCGGTCCAAGTTGCCATACATCGTTAGCACAACAAGATGAACACCGGGTTCATAGAAGTAATTAATTTAGTGGTGGTAGTAGTATATAAATTATAGGTTGTATATAAGGATATAGTACAGGAAGGAGGAGAGATATGAAGCAATTTTAGTCTCAAGGTTTAAAGGAAGATAAAGAGTGTATACACCTACGCCATTGTGATCGATTCTGAGCCATGTCACCTAGAGTCTCCAACCATTGGTTACGATAATCACGCGGACCCCAACCAGGTAGTCTGCATCTGCCAACATGGCTCAGACTAGAAGTTAGTGACTTCAAACACTGATGCCATGTTTTGGTTTGGCCGCCCCTAACTCTCTTCCAACAATCCCCTACACTAGTCATCATAGCGCGTCGTGGTAATCGGTGTTCAGGCATACGTAACACATGGCCCAACCATCTCAGTCGATGAAGATTCATGACCTCATCAACTGATTTACCATCCTTCCCTAATACCCTGCGTCTAACCTCACTATTACTCACCCGGTGATCCCAGCAGATGCGTGCAATATTTCTAAGGCATCTGTGGTCAAATACTAGTAACCTACGAGTATCTTCTACTCTTAATGGCCATGTTTCACAACCGTAAACTAGAACAGAGCGAACTGCTGCGCAGTATACTCGTCCTTTAATTGATAGACGGATATCTCGTCTTCGCCATAGGTGACGTAAGTTGGCAAAAGCCAAACGAGCTTTTCGAATCCGTGCTGAGATTTCGTCGGACACCAACCCATTAGGGCTGATCAGACTTCCAAGATAAGTGAAGTTGTCGACGCGTTCGACAACTTCACTCCCCATCTTTAGTTCAGGTGTTGACACAGGCCAGTCCTGGAGTAACAATTTACATTTAGAGGGGGAGAAACGCATTCCAAATATCCTTGCATTGTTACTCAGTGCTACCAAAAGACTGCATTTTATCAGCGTCTTCACCAAATAGGGCTATGTCATCTGCGTACTCTAAGTCGATAAGTGGATCTCCTAGTAGGAAATCAATTCCTGAAAATTTAGTCGACGAGAGTGTTATTCCCAGCAACAGGTCTATAATGAAGTTAAACAAAAATGGGGATAGTGGACAGCCTTGTCGGACACCACTTGAGGTTGTAAAATCAGATGACAGTTCGCCATAAGCTCTCACTCAACTGGTAGTGTTCGAGTAAAGAGCCTTCACAAGGTTTATGTACTTCTGAGGTACACCTTTCAATGACGGACACTGCCACAGAACCTCTCGGTCTACAGAGTCAAATGCTGCTTTCAAGTCAAGAAAAACTATCATTGTCGGACGCCGATAAGCGTGTCTGTGCTCTAAAACTTGACGAATGGTGAATATGTGGTCGATACAGCCACGACGAGGTCTGAAGCCAACCTGATTTTCTCGTGTTTGCAGTTCACGAGTCTTAGTTAGGCGCCCGATAATTATTGAGGCTAGTATTTTAGATGCTATGTTGGTCAGACTAATCCCTCTATGGTTATCAAAGGATGATTTTGACCCCTTTTTATATATTGGGACAATCAGTGATTGTGACCAGTCGGATGGGATTACATCCGTCTCCCAGATTTTAGCCAGAATATTAGTCAACCTAATCGCTAAAATCGGACCACCATATTTAAAGACTTCTGGAGCCAATCCATCTGGACCAGCTGCTCTTCCTCGTTTCAGATTAGTTATAGCCTTTTGAACTTCAAGTAGGGTCGGGGGGCCTACTTCAATGTTCCATTCACACTGTTTGAGAATGGTGGGTAACTGTAGAGTTGCTGAAGGCCAGCTAAACTGTTCACTAAAGTGTTCCGCCCATCGTTCTAAGCATCTGGGCTGGTAGCAGATGAAAGTCTCATCTTCTTCCAAGATTGTCTCCCTTACAATTGATTTCTTAATTCCGGTTTCTTTTATTAGTCTGAAGAGTTGCCTGGTGTTGCCTACAGCCACTGCCTTTTCCATCTCTTTTGCTTTCGTTGCCCACCACTGCTCACGATCGTTCCTTAGACTTTTAGTTAACCTAGATCTAATTTCTTTACGCTCTTCGTCATGTTCAGAGCCTGATGGGATGAGTTTACGCGAATCCATCAGTGAAATAGACTTAGAAGAAATCCATTGGTTTTTTGGAGCCCTATGGTTTAAATGGCTAATAGATGTAACTGCTGTTTTCACAGCTGTTCGTATGTCTTTCCAAGCAGCATCTGTGTCAGTCTTGTTTACAGAACTGCCTAGATGTGAACTCAGTTGTTTCTGGAATTCGCATTTGGCTTTCTCGTTTTCCAGTTCAATCCTAATGGGTCTTCTTAGTGTACTTCTCCTGCGTCCATTGAGGCGCAGACAAATGCGCGCTCGTATTAAAGCGTGATCAGAGTCTAAACAAGTATTCCAATACGAGCGACAATCTTCTATTGAGCCTCTCCAACGATGACTGATGACAATATGGTCTATTTGAGTCCATCGTTGGTTTGGTGCAGGTGGTCGCCATGTTAGACGATGTCTCTCCTTATGTTTAAAATTAGTGCTTGCTAAAAATAAACGATTGTCTGAGCATAGTTGCAACAGACGATCACCATTATCGGTTCGTTGAGCCGGAATACTAAAACACCCACCTAAATGTGTTTCCGTTTGATTCAAGCTGCCTACCTGGGCATTAAAGTCACCCGCTACGACTACTATGTCTGAGCGCTTAGCTTTCTGAAGAAGCTCAGAGAGCTTTCTGTAAAAGTCATCTTTCATTTCATCATGGCTGCAGTCGGTGGGAGCGTAGGCAGAAACGACGAAAAGGCAACGACGTGTGTCCCTATCCTTCCGAGTTCTTACGGAGCCATTCAGCCGGACAGCACACAGGCGACTGTTAACGGGGATCCATTCTAATAGTGCCTGTTCTGCCCTTGTACTTAGTGCTATGCCTACACCTGCAAGTCCGCGAGAACTAGCCAACGGGTCGCCAGATACACGGAGAATGTATTTCGTTGGCTGTCCATTTTGGCGAGGTGAGGTCAAGTGAATGACCACACTGGGATCCTGTATGCGTGTTTCGGAGACACAGCATACATCAATGGTACGAGATTCTAGGGTTTTAGCTAAGGAGGCCTGTTGACCGATTTGGCATTGGGTACGTACGTTGAAGGCTCCAATGTGTAGTTTGGAGCGAGGTTTAAGTAGACCTGGGACAGCGTTCCGCGCACTAGAATCGTTGGCCATGGTGACACTTGAGGAGGAAACCGGAACAGGAAGTTTAGTGTTGAAAGTCAAGTTAGAAGGAATAGTAGAAAATGAAGAAGGAGATTGATTATGAATACGGTGGTCTTGAGTGCTGTTAGAGTTATGAGGGCAGTTATCACTTCCCGGTTGCCCCACTGTGGAAGGGTTCTAATGGAGGTACCTGAAAAGGAAATTGTGTTAGAAATGATCTCAGTGACCTGAGAGCGTGACCGCAGTGCCCAAAGGACAACTGTTTGAGGTCGGTCACACACGAACTTTTTGTGTTAGCGATCAGCTACCGCTGGCGTGGTTGTGTACAAGACTGCCGCTCCTTTTGGAGTACCTATCTGGAGTCTGATCATGCCCTGGTCTGCGCCAATCTCACCTTACTTTTCAGTGGCCGAAGGATTGACCACCACCAACGGATTGATATTAGTAAACTGGCTGCAACTCCTGTTGCAAGTAAGTATCGAGCGGAGCTAGCCTCTAGGCTAGCTACCACCCCACCGAAAAGTATAGATGAGCATTGGTTGCTTCTTCACGACGCCATGAAAATGGCGAGTAAAGCCACTTGCGGCTTCGCGAAACGTCCAGCTTACAAGCACTGGGTTTCTTCTGGCTCCTTACAACTGATGGAAGCCCGTCGGTCTACTCCGGGTGACCGTGAGTTTGACCACAAACGAAGGCTGTTACGTAATGAAATCGGGCAAAGCTTGCGTAAGGACCGAGAAGCCTGGTGGTCGGAGCGTGCTAATAAGATGGAAGCAGCAGCTGCATCTGGTAACTGCTGGAAGCTCTTCCAACTCATCCGAGCCACTGGCAGCAAGAAGTCTGGTGTGAGTGAAACAATCTACGAGGATGATAGGATGCCAATCACTAATATCTCTCGACGTCTTGGACGATGGGCGGAATTCTTCGAAGGGCAGTTCAACTGGCTTGCTGCTCCGGCAACATCAACCAGCTTGTCCTGCCCCCCATGGCCGGTGACGACTGATCCACCAAACGAGGCGGAAGTCCGCAAGGAACTCCAACTCTTGAAACGTTACAAATCACCGGGCCCAGATGACTTACCTCCGGCTCTTTTTAAAGATGGTGGTGACCTTCTGACTAAGGAATTGACTGTGTTGTTTGGAAAGGTTTGGGAGCAAGAAAGTGTTCCAACATCATGGAATTAGTCGATAGTCGTCCCTATCTTTAAAAAGGGTTCACGTTGTTCCTGCAATAACTATCGGGGGATAAGTCTACTTTCGATTGCGTTCAAACTATTGGCTTCTATCATTCTTCGTAGGTTGTTTAAAACCCGAGAACGATTGACTCGCGAGGAGCAGGCTGGTTTTCGTTCTGGTCGAGGATGCATTGATCACATCTTCACCCTCCGCCAAATGTTAGAACACCGTCATACTTATCGCAGGCCAACAATCGTAGTGTTTCTTGATATCAGGGCGGCCTTCGATTCGTTGGACAGGACTGTTCTCTGGGATTGTCTATTGAAGAAGGGTATGCCTGAGAAGTTCATTAACATCTTAAAGGTCCTGTATACGAACACCTCAGGCAGAGTGAGGGCATACAACCACCTTTCTCCCTTGTTCCATTCGAGCAGTGGGGTTAGGCAGGGTTGCCCGATCTCACCATTCCTCTCCAACATTGCTATCGACGACATCTTGGAAACAGCTCTGATGGATGTAAGTAATGGCGGTGTGGATATGTTGTTGAAGTAGTTGAGAAGTTCGTGTATCTAGGTAGCTATATAAGTGCTGGTGGTGGCGTGAGTGATGAGATTGATGCACGTTTAATGAAAGCCAGAGCGGCTTATGCCAATCTGGGCCATCTTTGGCGCCTTCGTGATGTTAGTCTGGCTGTAAAAGGTCGGATCTACAACGCGTCGGTGAGAGCAGTTTTGCTCTATGCTTGTGAAACCTGGGCTCTTCGAGTTGAGGATGTTAGACGACTCTCTGTGTTCGATCATCGTTGTCTCCAAAGGATTGCTGACATCCAGTGGCATCACCATGTTAGTAATGCAGAGGTTCGGCATCGTGTGTTCGGGCGCCGAGACGATAATTCAATTGGTGTCACCATCTTGAAACACCGACTTCGGTGGCTTGGACATGTTTTACGAATGTCGTCCCAGAGACTTCCACGTCGTGCATTATTTGCCGACCCTGGGACTGGTTGGAAAAAGCGGAGAGGAGGTCAGTGTATGACATGGTGTCGTGGCATGAAAGAGCTGCAAAGGGCTAGCTTCTGTTGGTCCTTCACGACTCCCTGACTGGGGTCCGAGAGATGGTGCAACACAGTGGCTAGAGACGTTATCAGATATGGCTCAGAATAGAATCCAGTGGCGATCCTGCTGCAACCTTCTTTTACTTTCTACATAAAGAATGGTTTTAACTTTCTTAACTGAAAGAGTCTTCTGGTTGTACATTTCAGTCCGCCTTATCTTTTCATCCCCTCTCTTCCTACTTTCATTACTTTGTGTGGCGCATATGTACCTGGTGCCCTTTTGTACCAATATATATGTGTTTAAATAAATAAATAAGAGAGTTATGAGGAGGTGTATGAAGGATTTGAATGTAACCAACTTGGTCTCATGTGTTGTTATTGGTATGAATGCTGATGCCACTTCTCGGCTGCCCACATCGTAGAAGGATTATTGACACTCCCGACCGTAGCTGCTGCCTTGACGTAATGGTCGGGCTTGACAATATTGTTAACACTTGGTTACAACGAAATAATTTTTGGTATAAAAGCGTTCTTAAGGGAAAATTTGTAGCAACGCCTCTGGCCAATAGAAGTGTAGAAAGGTTTTAGTAACAAGAAGTCGGTATCATACTTGTTCATTTTTCATTTATTCTCTTTTGAACAAAGATTTCATCCTCATCAAAACGTGGAAATCGTCATCGTAAGCTACGTACTCGTCAACTAGATACAGATGGTCTAATGGATGATATATTACACAGTAAGTTTCAAGGAACATTTTAGATTGAATTCTAAAAAATTACTGTAAACAATACAAAACGAATTTCTTCGCATTGTTTTGTCAGGTACCAAACATCACAAAGTGATAATAGATGGGACATACAATTTATCTTTCCTTATAAATATATTATTTGAATGCTACCCTAATAATAATTGACCCAGCAGTCTATGCTGAGCGATAGTCTAAGCAGCTACAATTTAGTCTTTGGTAATTTATCTGTTTCGAATAGTGGTAGGGGTTACAGCAAAATGAATAAGTGATGAGTAACAGTTAAGATTATAAAATATAACTGTTCATGAATTAATAGTCAAATAAGGATATATTACACAAAAATCAGGGTAGTGATTGTTAAAAGTAATATATGACTTAGCAATAAACCTGACCATTAGAAATGTAGTTGCAACACAGTTCGGTCATTAAATCAGAATTTATGATTCAGATTCCCAACCTTTATCTACAGGCGTTGTGTAATGCGATCTTCGACCCTCGTCGTTAATGAATTACTGTCTCACTTCCGAATTGGTTTTGTCCCATAGTTCATTGCTTTCCATCAAACTTCCGACAAAACCATCTCGAAACCAATCACTATCGGTCGTACGATCATCATTTACCAAGGTGTCTTGTATGGAGATTCATATAATTTTCAAATATCCTTTTGTTATGATTAAGTTGGATTGGAATCTTGATTCACTAATCAAAATTCAGATCATTACTTTTTACTGACTATCATCATGTGCTTCGAATGACAACGAATTATCTTGAGCTGTGGCCGAGATAGTCATCGATGCGGCTTTCTCTCCGTACCCGCTTCATATTTAGTCCGATAAGAGAACACAACAAGTAGATAAGATCTCTATTGTGTGATTATCATTACGACTCAAACCTCACAATAATAGAAAACAAGTTCCTGACCATGTAAGCATAAATGGATAAAATACAATGTGCTCATGACCACACCATAATTAAAATATGCAGTGAGTGAAGTGTCCATAATTAAAAACAACTTAGGGAAGGTAAAACACGATAAATAAAGTAATATATTTGTAATATCCCAATGAGTGGAAAAATTAGATCTGACGTTTCTACTCATTGGGATATTACAAATATATTATTTATTTAAAACAATTTACCCAATGCTCAATTTATTCGAAATCATCAAATCAAAACTTGGTAATGATACCTGTAAAACACTATAGTTTATGAACCAGATGAATATAAGAATGCTATAATCCTTGTCAAATAGTTATATAATGAAAATATAAGTAATCACAAAATTTATCATCGGATTTAAGCTCAACATGAGCTCAATCTCATGTATTACTATAAGTGTGCACTAGTGAGGGGTCCCGAAATGAGACCAAACAACTCTACGGTGCTCTGTTTGATATACCAGTTTGTGACAATGACCATCATGCAAATCTCACAAAACATCTTAGGAAAGAGTTTATTGTTGTTAGCATAGAATGACAATACGATAAACCGGTTCCCAAGAAAATAAATAATCATTTGAAATGATGTACATATATGTCTCCAGTATTAATCTACATAGTAGTAGTTAGTATATGTTCCCTGTTATTTATGAAATCACTACACCTGACAAAAGGTACTACCAAATATCAGAAATTTGTGTGAGAGCTCTATTTCATAAAAATGATTGAATGGAATCAACAGTGAGACAAATACAAAATCACAAAAAGGCATATATCTACTTCGAGATTCGAACCGGCCTCATTCTGTAGCGTATTAAAAGATACCACTTACTGGATAATATCAAACATCACGCTACTTATTCCTTAGTTCTAACTAAACTCTGTCATTGATTTAGCAGCAACGTCTCTAATTCTATTGCCTTGAAAGAATCACAAGCAGTAAGTCTGAACTGTGGAATAGAGAAAATAGTGTTGACTTCTGTTGAGAAAAATAAAGAGGAACTACCTACAAATTTAAGTTTGGCGTTGGCTAAGTCCCTTGACCAGTAAGCTTTTAGTTATACGATCAGGTGCTTAAACCCCTTCCTTGGTTTCGATAGCCGAGTAGTCGTGTCACTTGCAGCCAGGTAATAAACGTGTGGTTCAGAGATGATTACAAAAGTTTGTGCTCAGTACATGAGTTATTAGTTTAAAAATACACTGTCTGAAGTTCAGCAGTATATCATCTTCCATAATTAATTGATCATCACTTTACCAAGTAATAGTTCGATAGAATTTAATCAACACTGATGTTTATGCACCAGGACATTAGTTATCCTAAAATCGACCTACTTGGCATTTCTATTATGTCATAACTCTGTCATTATTTGTCTTTTCTTTCCCCTAGATCTCACTTTGAATCCTCTAAGAGCAGACATACATGTGAAACGATCAGATAAGATTGATTAGATCAATGCAACTTCTTTGCACTTCAATGACATTATACAGTTTTCATGATGATAATACGCGAACCACGTGCTGTTTTGTAAGAAGTCTTCCTACGAATACACATTCCCGTGAATGGAAACCTTTATCCTTTCATTTAGGGAGATTCATCTTACCGTTTATTTGATCTGCTTTATTTTCATGATATTTGTACAAATTATTTATTTTATTGCTATGTATTACTACTTATACATATGCCTTTAAGCAGACAGTTATTTTATGCATTACCTTGACACTTATCGTGCGTTGTCCTTTTGAATGTAATTATTTAAACTTATAAAAGTTTATACCTCCATTTTTATTCTTGTAGTATTTCCTCCGATCCCTTCGGGAAAACTTCGTCTGTCTGTCCCGATTGTTTTGTTTTAGGCTATTGAATGCTCCTCAATATATGTATAGAGGTACTTATTCCTATATATATCGACTGCATAATATCGTTTACATATGCCTCACCAGTGTCATTATTATTTGTTTGTTAAATACTGTAAACAGATTACTTTACTTCTTATCACCCTAAACTTTGTTTCTTTTTACATCAATAAATAAAGCATTTTATTTCTGTCAGCAGTTATGTTGCAGATTCTCTTTTTATTGTGGTTGGTTGGCTTACATTAACCGATACATTTGAGGCTAGTTCGAATTACCAACTTCTTTTGCTACCAGGTTGATAGATAAGTCTGAACAATTAGAAATGATTTGGAATATTGTTCAGTTTTTGAATAAAAATAGGGCATTGAACGTAACTACCAGTTATTTCATATAAATGAAGTGAACCTAAATGAACGTGGAATATTGATAAAATCACCCAGACCTAGAAATCAGTAAGAACACCAGTATTATTTTTCACTGGATTTTACACTAATTATTCTTGTCTACAACTAAGCTATTTGACATAAAAATATTAAGATCTACTTCCAATCTTATCGTTAAGACTAGAAGGTCACTTCGAAAATTCTGCGAAGTACGCATTAGTCAGTTCATAGTCCAATCGTGAAATGTGTTTGTTACAACTCCAACAGTAGGACTTATTGTTGGTCCTCAGTAGACAAGTATATTACTCAATCATGCTGAGAATGTTACACCTTAGTAGCACTATAAGGGTCTTGCTATCCTGCTAAGAATCCATTTGAATATTCTGAATTATAGTACTTCCAAAGCCCTAGTTTCTCCACGATTCAAAAAGCAGCTCCATGAGGTTTCTGCATAATACAAATCATCCCAATAGAATCGAAATGTCGTAAAACAACTTATCTTTGTAGGCAAGAATGCTACTGAAAGTCAAAAAAGGACCTAGATGTGTAAGTAGACAAAATAAGGGTTTGTAATGGTTTTCGTCACGGATTGATATCAGTAGAAATACAATCGAGAACGGGACGTGTTTCTTACCTGTGTGAATTCCTATTGAAGGGGACATAACTATCCAAGAACTGAACTCAAGATTTTCAGGCCCCGAAGGGAGCGCCTAAACTTCATTGGCTCATATTTTTAACTTGGATTAATTCTTGATATTACCTGCTAGCTAGGTTTCGTTAATGCTCCGGGAAATCGAAATCAACTTACTGTGTGTGGTCTAAAAATCTGAAATGGCGACGCAATGAAAAGCGTCTTCTGACTAATACTAATCGAATTGCTGGAGAGTACTTCATTTCCCAAGATGTGATATAGTCTGATGGTCATCCGACACTGTGATAATTGTACAGTGCTTTGGCTCTGAACTTTCAATTCTGTGTGTTATATCCCCTGGTGAATTATGAATGGTAACTCCAGGACTATTTATCGACCAATGTATTATGCGTATTGTACAATTGTTACGTAACTAAACGATTCATATTTGTGTTTCTCTTATCATGAGCTTTATTTTGATCTTTGATTCATCATCATACGATTCTTGAGTTATAATCAGTTTATTGATTACTTTGGTTTGTATAAAAACCCAGTATGTTTGTAAATAATGATTCATACCACTGAGGATGTCATTTGTGTTTTGGACTTAATTGGCTGGGCTAGGCAGATCGCAGGACCGGTTAGCACTCTAGGCTGCTCGTACGGGTTTCGTGTCACTGTTCCAATCGAGAATTCGCTCTCCCTAATTGGCGGTCTCATCAAGTCACACATCAACTACCCATCCACTCGGCCACAAGATATAACACTGTGAAAATATACACCTACATATCAGATTAATTTCTACAAAAAATAAACATCTATTTACTTTACTCATATATCAAGTAAATGCTACAGAACCCGACTTAAATTTCCCGGAGTGGTAGTGATACTAACTAGCTGTCCGAAACGAAGTAGAGTGGGGTTTGAAAGTGTAACTTGATCAACAAATCTATTGCGTTAACACCTAAGCAACCGCCTGAATTTCAATCCTATTTATAAAAGTGGAAAGATAGGGAAATCGAAACCGTGTTACATTGATTACTTGAAATAAATCATTTTTATAAGCAGTGTAGTGCTAAAGAGAATGTCCTCAATTTACCACTATAAATACTGTGTTACGACTTTATCAGCAACTACTGAAACTCTACAAGTTGTTTAAAACGAAACACACCTTTCCTCATTAATTGTTGCTAACCCAAGAACTAATTTGTCGCTTCTAATAATCAAGGAACTCCACCTGTAGCTCTTCTAGAATTACTGCCGGTCCCAAGCACGGGTAAAGGAGGGTTGAGCATGGGGTTAGAGACCCTTTCCCGTAGAAAAATTAACTCGCTAAAAAAACGCTAACCAGAAAAAATAATTTAAACTCTGCCCTGGGAGTTGAAGGAAAAATTAGGGTGCCTTATGATGAAAGCCGAGTCCCTTCGGAAGTCACGAGGCTGATGCCTTTTCTAACAATCAGAGCAATTTGGCAGTACTCGGAATCAGCGATCCGATAGAGATGATGCCGTACTCTGATCACAAAGAGGAAAATGTTCCGCACACTCAAGGAATTACTCTGATGCTGTCCAGAAAAACACGAAATGCACTTGTAGGATTGGAGTCTCACGGATCCAGGATAATCAAAGCATCATTCAAAAAAAGGAGGGAATCACAATGAATGTTATTCAATGTTATGCACCCATCAATCATAGCAACAACGACAACACAGGATATGAAGATATAATGGAACGACATGGACTAGGAGAGAGAAATGATAATGGGGAGAGACTTGCAAATCTATGTGCATTCAAAAAATTGGTTATAAGTGGCATAAGATTTCCACACAAACGCATACACAAAGCTACATGGATCTCGCCAGACCACACCACAGAAAATCAGATAGATCACATCTGTATCAACAATAAATTCTGAAGGTCAATGGAAGACGTGAGAACCAGGAGAAGAGCTGACATGGCTTCAGATCACCACCTAGTGGTTGCCAAGATAAAAATGAAGCTAGAGAAGCACTGGATAACTAGACAAACAGCATTACAAAGGTTTGATACAGCCTTTCTTCGAGATACTTACAAGCTCCACGAATTTAAGATAACTCTCAACAACAGGTTCCAAGCTCTACAGGACCTACTGAATGAATAAGAAACTACTTTGGAGGACAACTGGAAAGGGATAAAAGAAGCACTAACTTCAACGTGTCAGGAGGTTCTTGGTCCTAAGAAACATCATCATAAGGAATTGATCTCTATGGGAACCCTCAACAACATTCAAGAAAGGAAGAACAAGAAACTAGCAATTAACAACAGCCAAACACGAGCAGAGAAAGTCAAAGCACAAGCAGACTACGCAGAAGCAAACAAGGAAGTGAAGAAAAGCACTGAGGCCGAAAAGCAGATAAACATGCGAGAACTAGCAACGAAGGTGGAAAAGCTGCAAGAGAAGGGATTATGAAACAACTATATGATACAACGAAGAAATTGGCGGGGAGATATAGTAAACAAGAGAGATCAGTCAAGGACAAAGAAGGGAAGACAATCACAGACGTTTAAGAACAGAGGAAAAGATGGGCAGAATACTTCGAGGAACTGCTGAATAGACCAGCTCCATTGAATCCACCGAACATCGAAGCAGCACACACTGATTTCCCTATATCTGTCACTTCACCAACGATCGAAGAAATCAAGATGGGCATCAGACAAATCAAGAGCAGGAAAGCTGCAGGACCTGACAATATAACAGCTGAAGCGCTGAAGTCAGACATTGAAGTAACTGCAAGCATGCTTCACCTTCGATTCAAGAAGATTTGGGAAGAGGAACAAGTGCCAACGAACTGGAAAGAAAGATACCTCATCAAGACACCAAAGAAAGGAGATGTGAGCAAATGTGAGAATTACAGAGGCATCACATTGTTGTCAGTACCACGGAAAGTTTTCAACAGAGTACTGCTCAACCGGATGAAAGACACAGTAGACGCCCAACTTCGAGGTCAACAGGCTGGATTGCATAGGGATCGGTCGTGCACAGACCAAATTGCGACGCTACGGGTTATTGTTGAACAACCAGTTGAGTGGAACTTGTCACTATACATCAACTTCGTTGATTATGAGAAGGCGTTTGACAGTGTGGACCAGAGAACATTATGGAAACTTCCTCGACATTATGGAGTTCCTCAGAAGATTTTCAACATTATCCGGAACTCATACGACGGGCTACAGTGCAAAGTCGTGCATGGAGGACAGCTGACAGACGCATTTTCAGTAGGGACTGAAGTCAGACAAGGCTGTCTACTGTCCCCCTCCCTCTTTCTTCTGGTGATTGACTGGATTATGAAGACTTCGACATCTGCGGGGAACCACGGAATACAACGGACATCTCAGAATCAATTAGACGATTTGGACTTCGCAGATGACCTAGCCTTCCTATCTCATACACACGAACAAATACAGATGAAGACAGCAAATGTAGCAGCAGCCTCTGCATCAATAGGTCTCAACATACACAAAGGAAAAAGCAAGATTCTCTAATACAACACGGAGAACACTAACCCAGTCACACTTGATGGAGAAACTCTGGAAGAGGTGGAAACATTCACGTACCTGGGGAGCATCATTTATAAACAAGGAGGATCAGATGCAGATGTAAAGGCGAGGATTGGCAAAGCAAGGGCAGCATTTCTACAACTGAAGAACATATAGAACTCAAAACAATTATCAACTAACTTCAAAGTCAGAATTTTCAATACGAACGTCAAGACAGTCCTACTGTATGGAGCTGAAACATGGAGAACTACTACAACCATCGTCAAGAAGGTACAAGTATTTATAAACAGTTGTTTACGCAAAATACTCAACATTCACTGGCCGGATACTATCAGCAACAGCGTTTTATGGGAGAGGACAACCCAGGTCCCAGCTGAAGGTGAAATTAGGAAAAGATGTTGGAAGTGGATAGATCATACATTGAGGAAATCACCAATGTGCATCACAAGGCAATCCCTAACTTGGAATCCGGAAGGGAAGCGGAAAAGAGGAAGGTCAAAAACACGTTACGTCGGGAAATGGAAGCAGATATGAGAAGGATGAATAACAACTGGAAAGAACTAGAAAGGATTGCTTGGGACAGTGTTGGATGGAGAACACTGGTGTGCGGCCTATGCTCCTCCACGAGGGGTAACCGGGCGTAAGTAAGT